AAGCCTCGAATAAATTTCGTTTAAATAAGCGATTAAATCACTAGAACTATTTAACAGCGAATAAATTTTAGCCTCCATATTGGATTTTTGTTTACGATTTTATGGTGTTATTTAAAATTTTTAACAAACATTTTTTAAAAAACAATAAAAAATAAGTTATCTAGTTTACGAAATATCAATTATTACTTAAATTAATGGAATTTTCTTTAAAAAAATATTTATAAATTTTGACACATACGTCAGATTTTATGAATTGTCAAATTGGTTCCTTTAATTCGAGAAATAATCTAGACGTATATCACTCAACCTATAAATTTAATCTGTCAAACTATGCTCAGTAAGTTTTTTATTTGATTTTTCTTTTTGGAAAATAGTTTCATGCAAAATAATTAAAAATAAAACCCCTCGACAGCTACGCGGTCTCGTGATTATATTAAATTATTTTGCATTCAACATTTTCCAAGAAAAACCAAACAAAAACTACTGAGCCTAGTTTAACCGATTAAATTCAAAGTTCTCGTGATATAATATATGATTAAAAGTGACGAGCCTTGGTCAAAAACAAATATTAGCAGTTTTGAAACTGTTAGTTTCAAGTTTTTCTCCTAAAAAAAAGTTTTAACATGTAGCAGCAATTTTACTATGCTTTTGTTCATTAAAAATGTTAAAAATTTATAAAAAAATTTAACAGTGTATATACCAAAAGGTTTCGCCTTTTTCTTAGTTTTAATTGAAATGCATGCTGTCAACTTTTTTTTTACTTTGGTCCGCAGAACAAAACAAAGATCCGACAATGGCATTAAAGTACCTCTAATAGGTTTTATAGAATAGATTTTATATAAAAATAACATTTTAATTTATACAGGTTGTTTAGTTTTTGAATTTTTGGATCCTACCCACAAATATTATAAAGGCTATTATAATAGGCTTAAACCTAACAAAATTATCGCATTTTTTTTTAATTAGTAGCTTTGCGCGGATAATAATAGCGTTTATAACAAAACTATACTTTGTTGCAAAAATGGCGAAGGTGTCGGGATTAATTTAGAATTCGTTAATAAGTTGACTACAGGGCCACCTATCGGGTCCTAGCTCAGCTATGAACCACCGTCTTGACAAAACAAATATATTAAAAATATGGCCAACATCTATAAAATACAGATTTTAATAATTTTTTCAAAAATTTTAAAAAATTATTGCTCGTACATCTTTTTTGTCTCCTGCATTTTTTCTCTATCTTGTTTAATATTCAATAAATAATAAAATTCTTTCGCCCCTGAAAAAAAATAAGGTAAACTAATTTAACTTTTTTCTTGAAAATTAAGCTAAATAGAGAAAAAATGCATAATGCATAAAAGTCGCGTTTTTAATTGAATCGGTAAGATTAAAAAAGTACGTTTAATTAAAAGTTTTAAAAGTTAAAATGTTTATAAAATCGATTTTATAGTTTAAAATGCATTTTTTACAAAATATAATACTTTTAGACTTGTACTGTTTTTAATCTCACCGATTTAATTGCTTAATATTTATTTATTGTGCGATTTTAACCGGATTTGTTTTAAAGTGTATATTTTGATAAACTGTTTTTGTGGAGCATAAACATTATATTTTAAAAAAATATAAGGCCTACTATGTCAGTTTTATAAAGTAAATTTTTAATAACTCATATTAGTAATTATTAAAAAAATCTATGACGGCACTAGATTTACCACCCCTTAAAACGAGCCTTTATTAAAAAATTTTAAGTAGGAACGATTTTATAGCCTAATTAAAAATTAAAAATAATAATTTCAAAAATTTATTTTGTCAAGTTATCCATGAAAGAAACATTTAAATGAAATAAAACTAATCGTAACAGTTTTAACAGATAAAAAAGGCAATAGAAAATGAAAACAACAATAAATAAAATTAATTTAAACACACTTTCATCTTTGTTCTGTGCTTGTATCCTGACGTTGTAAACCTTTTGGTAATGGTACTAATAAATATTATTTTTATTACCCGAAAAGTTGTGCAGTAGAAGTGACAAAAATCTTACTGTAGAGATTTTTTTCAATTCTCTATTATTTGTCAAAACTAAGAATAGGAATATTTATTTATGCATAACTTGACAAAATAAATTTTTGTAGATAGTTCTTATAAAAACAATATATTGTTTATTTTTAATTTGTGTAAGAAACCGTTCCTAAATAAAAATTTGAATAAAATTTAGGATAGGGTCGCTTTGAGGGGTTGGGCCTTGCATGCATTAAAAAAATCGCTAATACAGGGTGTTATGTAAATTACATTACGTTTAACGAGCTGTCACAATTACCATTACAAAGTAATTAAAGTACCAATTACCAATTACCAGGTATCCAAAAAAATATACAAATTACCAATTACTTTAGTTTTTCAAAAGTACTTGCAATTATCAATTACCACTAAAAGGAATTGAAAATATCCAATTACAATAATTCAATTACTTTCTCTAGTAATTCAATTACTTTATCTGCGTCAAATTCCTTAAAAGTAATTGAATTACTATATTTAATTGAATTACCTGTACATTACATTTAAAATTCCCGCCTAAAGAAAGAAAATAATCAGCGCCATCTATGCATTTTTATCTAAAACATAATAGACATGAAGCTCGTACGTAACATTATGTTGTGTAAGTTGGTAGCCTTGTGACCTGTGTCAAGTGCATCTCAGACTTTCGGGCGATTATTGTGTTGCCAACTTTTAACCAGGAACTTTGGTGTTCTTTGCATAGAACCCAACCTGGTTTACTCAGTACAGTGAACTGTTTTGAACCGGGTAAGTTACACGGTGTAACGCCATCTAGATATACTACTTGACGATTCAGTAAACCTAGTTGCGACTTATTTTATTTAAAACATGTGTAGAGCATTAAAAAAATCAACAACAACTTTAAACTAAATTTTAATAAACTGAAAACAGCAACGTACGTTCAACTCCCATTTAAAAATTAGTAGGTACGTACTAGTTTTTAAATGGGAATTGAATATTTTGTGGTAATTGAAATACAATAAAGGATTTGAATTACAATAAAGGAATTGAATTACTATAAAGGAATTGAATTATTTAAAAAATAATTTAATTACTCAAATATCTTAAAAACAATTACCAATTACAATTACTTTCTAGACAGTAATTGAAGCACCAATTACTTTTAAGGTTTTAAAAATATAATTGAATTAAAGTAATTCAATTACTGAAAAGTAATTCCATTACATTTTCAATTCTTTTAATTCTTTTAATTCAATTACTTGACATAATGTAATTAATGTTATATATTAAAATGGGTTGTTCCTTAGGGTCCATAAAGAAGCACCTGAAACTTTTTTTTTCTAAATTCCAAAGTCTAATAATTTATAATAACCTTTATCCAACCAAAAAGTACGCCACTGATCGACTAGGAACTTTAGGCGTATCTGGTTGCCTAATTTAATTTATTATGTTAGCTTAGTTACAAAAATGACAAAATCAACAATGCAAATTGTCAATTTGGCGTTTTTATTAATTGTTGGTTATGTCATTTTTGTACTGAAGGTAAATTCAAACAAAATCTGCCAACTTTTATGACATAATCTAGTGCTTTTGGATTTATTTACACAAATTAAATGTTTAAAGTTTAACCTGTGAACTGGTCCCAATTTCATCTGAGTAAACAAAGAAAAAAACCGTAGAAAAAATTAATTTTGTGGTTATGGATTTTTTAAAATAAGTACTAAATTTTCTAATCATTGCTTAAGCTAATAGCTGGATGAGTAAATAAATACAGAAGGGTATTAGGGCTTTAAGGGCATAAAACTTTTGTATTTATTGAGTTTTTATTTATTTTTTGCAAGACAATTTTTTAGTAAAAATTTTTTACATCTGGCAACGCGCAGCTACTTTGTTGGTTGGTATCTATGTACTCACAGAACACAAGTGTGCAGAGATAAACCAGTGGCGTATCACAAAAAATATAAAAAACTTATAATGCATCTTTGGAAAAATATTTTTCCTTTACTCCTTATGTCAAAAGGTATTCAGTATTTAAATATATATTAAAATACCAAGATAATAATGGTTAGTTAAAAATTAAACTTAACCTAGAGGTTAAGTATAATTTTTTGTATATTAAAAAATCTATAAATATGCAAAAAATATAGAAAAATGAGTTTTGATACCTTCAGATTACATTTGTATACAGGGTGTCCCATAACTAATGGACATTACAGCAACTGTTGAAATAGAAGGTCAAAATAGGTCGATTAACACAAATATGTCTTGGTAAAATGTAAATAATAAACGAGATACAGGGTGATAAATGTGGGATCTGGTTTTTGAAAATTTGTTATATTTGGAAAACTATTTAATGTATCAAACTCAAAATTTGTACACAATAGTTTTTAAGGACGAGAAATACAAATTTGTCATAATTTTTTATGCTACATATAGAGGGCGCTAATGACACATGTCGAATTGGCTAAATTAATACTTACTAATTTTTACCCCTTGTATTACTAACATTTTTAGGAGTTCTGAACAACTAAATATTAAAAGACAATTACTTTTTATATTTAAGTATATAAAAATATATAAATTTTTCCATTAAAAAAGAAATAATTTTAAACTTTTATAGTTTAAAATTTCTTTGTTGTAAAGGAATACCCCTTATTATTATAAATTTGGTATTGTCTCGGTTAAAACCAAACACCCTGTATTATTTTTTTTATTTGGAATCATGTTAATGTTCTATATAATACAATGTCTAATCTTTCTGTTATATAATGTACTATTATGCCATGATGTCAAATCTCTGTTCGGAAATATTTAAAACTGTCGAGAAAGCACAAAAATTACCTACTTTAAAATATGGTTTGCCCGAGCCCCTCCGAAAGCACAAAGATTATAGCTAAAAAATGTAGTTGTCGGCAGGTTTCTTGCTACCTGCTTTTCGATCCTTTATACAAAAACTTCAACTCGTTTATATAAAAAATGTATAGTACCTAATTCGTGTTTTTTAGACGTAATATTCTTCAAATTTGTTACGTCGAACTTTTCTTCCTGTAGACGATTCACACCGAATATCACGTTTTCGTTTGTTTCAGCACGTGCTCGATGTTGATGCAATCCAAGATGGCCGCTCCGACCGAACTTCGTCGGATCGACATGCACGACACCACTATCCATTTGTTGAGCAGAGGATCGAATTTTTCCACGCTATTCAGGCTGGAAGAGCCGTCGTTACCGCCCAGAGCGTATATGTAACCATCGATGGCCACCACTTCATGAGTCGATCTGCAATATATATTATTATTAATTGAATTAAAGTACAACTCGACAAATCTAGTTAGAGACTTTAAAAACTTGCAGTGTGCGCAAAACTTTAAAGAGAGAACGCATTCGGAAGAAAAGAGGTGCATGATACGGCCGATCCCCGCCGCACAGAGGACTAATAAAGGTTTAAATATCAACATTATTAAAGTTATTTAAGAGTACAAAATAGTAAATTTTCGATTTATTTATAAAGGGTGATCCAATTAGTGCTTTAGAATTTTTAAAGTGAAATTTTGGCAACACTGTACAATTGGCGTCTCCGAAATGTGAACGATTTTTTGTTGTCATGGATTTTTTTCATAAAATTTATTCGTTCATTCCTGGCTTCGGCCAGTGGTGTTACATATAGAAGGGAGAATACTAAGAATAAGAACAATATCCTAAATCGTTCTATTTTTTTAATAATATTTTAACAAACAATAATATAAACAATATAACAAATAAATTAACTTTAATTTGGTTTTATACAACAATATAAATTAACAAGTAGGTAAATACACAATAAAAATAACATAACTAAATTAACATATTGCTCAAGAAAATTGGTTTTTAAGTGAAATAGCGGCAGATTTAAATGTCAGTAAAAGCTGCATATTTTATATCAAAAAACGTTGGCAAAAACAACAAAGATTGAGAAGACCAATCAGGCAAGGTGTAGGTAAAATCGTTCTATTTTTTTAATAATATTTTAACAAACAATAATATAAACAATATAACAAATAAATTAACTTTAATTTGGTTTTATACAACAATATAAATTAACAAGTAGGTAAATACACAATAAAAATAACATAACTAAATTAACATATTGCTCAAGAAAATTGGTTTTTAAGTGAAATAGCGGCAGATTTAAATGTCAGTAAAAGCTGCATATTTTATATCAAAAAACGTTGGCAAAAACAACAAAGATTGAGAAGACCTATCAGGCAAGGTGTAGGTAAAATCTCCAACGAAAATGAAGACAATGCTCTTGTCGCACTTATTAGGCAAAATCCTTTCAATAGCGCATTTAAGGCCCGAGAAGATACACAATTTCCAGGATCTCTTCGAACAGCTCAAAAAAGATTGAAACAAGCTGGCTTAAAAAACTGTGCTGCTAAGCTATTTTAATACTTAATTGCAGAGCCATTAGCTGCCACAACCCTTTGCAACCTTCTTGGCATGGACATTATTAGCTCACGCATGTCGTATGAATCAGCAAGCTCATCCCAAGAATTTTCAACAGCACTCCATAGTTCATCTCGGTTTGCTGGCCTAAAGTCCCGTTGATATATATTTTTAACTATAAAACCCCACACGTTTTCAATGGGGTTTAAGTCAGGGCTTCTAGCTGGCCATGGCAAAACAGTTATGTGGTTGTTGTTTACCCACTCTGTAACCACGCGAGCTGTGTGAACTGGTGCATTGTCCTGTAATACAATATTTATTAGAATCGTTTTTGAATACTATACAGTTTTCTTACATGTTGAAATATAAAGTTTTCTGGAAACACATGTCTAACTGAAGGTAGCATAACGTTGTCCAAAATCCTGGTATAGTGCTCAGCCGTTAATCTACCATCAATTTCCCAACATACTCCCGGACCATGGATGCTTATCCACGCCCAAACATTTATGGAAAAGCGTCCACTATTTGAGGTTTTTAATGTATAGTTCTCCTCAAATCTTGCGTTTCTTGGACGATATACACGCAGCCTTCCATTATTGCAAGATTGGAACGTTTTTTCATCCGAAAATATAACATTATTCCAAAAATCTTCTCCATAATTTAAATAGTCATTGGCGAACTGGACTCTCCTGCGCTTATTTTCTTCAGTTAAAAAAACCTTATGAGCAGCAGCACAGTTTTTTAAACCAGCTTGTTTCAATCTTTTTTGAGCTGTTCGAAGAGATCCTGGAAATTGTGTATCTTCTCGGGCCTTAACTGCGCTATTGAAAGGATTTTGCCTAATATGTGCGACAAGAGCATTGTCTTCATTTTCGTTGGAGATTTTTCCTACACCTTGCCTGATAGGTCTTCTTAATCTTTGTTGTTCTTGCCAATGTTTTTTGATATAAAATATGCAGCTTTTACTGACATTTAAATCTGCAGCTACTTCACTTAAAGACCAATTTTCTTCTAATTTGGCTATTGCCCTGGACCTCTGAGCCTCGGTTAAGTGGGGTGGCATTTTTAATATTGCAATTGACAACTATTATCAAATTTGACAACTACCGACGACACTGATGCAAAGCCCATATTACACGATTAAATTTTGCCGTTCACATTTCGGGGACGCCAATTGTACATGCGAAATTTATTTCTATTTGACAGTTTTGTAGGTTAGGTTATAACAAAACAACATGGAACATTTAACACCAGAACAACGTTGCGAGATTATTAAAATTTATTATCAAAACCAAAGCTCTGTAAAGGCAACTTGGCGCGGATTACGTGCACGATATGGTCCACATCAACGACCAAGTGAACAAGCAATTCGTAATGTTGTGAAGAAATTTGAAAATGAGTTTACATTGTTGAATAATCCAAGAACAAATCGTGTCAGAAATGTGAGAAATGCAGACAATGTTGAAGCTGTAAGACAAAGTGTTCAAAATAATCCAAATTTGTCTGTTAGACGTCGTTCTCAGCAATTGGACCTTACATATCGTCGTTTATCTGACAAAGAGGCGTATCTCATTTTTAAACAAAACGGTGTGAATTGAATTACGCCAGTTTGTACGGCACACAAAATGCAAAAATATTAGTTACGCCGAAACTGCTTTATGCTAAAACTTTATTTGTACCTATTTATTATAGAGCTACGCCAGTTTGTGAGATTATAAAGTCGATTTTGGTGATCATTCTGGTACAACTCAAAAACGAATTTTTTTGAGTTACGCCTCTTTGTCAGATAAACGACGATATGGATCAACCTGGAGGATTTTACGGAAGGATTTAGGTTTGCATCCATACAAAATTCAATTGGTTCAAGAACCAATAAACATCGTTGTCGCCGTAATTTCGCTGCTTGGGCGATCGAACATTTGACTGAAGATCCGTTTTTTCATCGTACTGTAATGTTCAGCGATGAGGCTCATTTTTTTTAAACGGCCAAGTTAATAAGCAGAACTGCAGAATTTGGGGTGGGGAGAATCCTCATGCATATGAAGAAACGCCGTTGCATCCAGAAAAGGTTACAGTGTGGTGTGCCATCCATGCGCGTGGAATCATTGGGCCTTATTTCTTCGAAAATGCCCAAGGAGAGCGTTATCGGGTAATGTTGAACGACTATTTCTTGCCAATTGTTATTGAAAACCAACTGGAACAATTGTGGTTCCAACAGGACGGCGCTACGCGCCACACCGCCAACGAAACCATGGAGTTATTGCAAGAGCACTTTGGTGAAAAAGTTATTTCAAGAAATGGCCCTGTAATTTATCCAGTAAGATATTGTGATTTAACGCCGTGTGATTTCTTCCTTTGGGGTTATGTGAAGTCGAAGGTCTACGCTAACAATCTAAGAACAATTGGGGATTTAAAAACCAACATCAGAAATGTTATTCGTGATGTTAAATTGGACTATTCGAATGCGCTATTGTCAACAAAGTCGTGGAGGACATTTGACCGATATTATTTTCAAAACATAATTGTAATTAGTTAGTCTTTCAAATAAAAACAAAATACTTTGGCCTTGCAACCATGTTTGTGTTTTATTTTGTTTTAATATCCTAAAGCAATAATTGGATCACCCTTTACAATTAGAATAAAATTATATTTAAGGTAAACAAGAATTTCTTATAAAGTTTAGGTATGTTTAAAAGAGGTAACATTAATGCAAATAAAAATAGGTTATAATCCTTTTGAAAATTTTTCAAAACATTTTGATTGATGTAAATATTTTCTATACCTAATGTATATTTATTGTTTTTTCTTATAAAAATATTAAATATAGTTTTAAAAGATTTTAACCAGTGTTTGATTTTTTATCTAGTTTGTTGAAAAAAACAAAACTGGTTTTATCAGTCAGCAAGGTTATGTCTAATGTGTTTTAAAATGCTCGTGGGGTTATCTTTAAAGGGGCAAAACAACCACATAAAACTACTAGAATTTGGATAACTTACTTATTAATAAAAAATACACAATTTTAGGACGTTTTAATTTAAAGGTGCTTAAAATAAGTCACATACCTTCTATTGTGCATTGATATAATTGGTTCCCAAGCATTTCGTCTTACATTAAATCGTTCACCACTTGCCATACACATTGTTCCATCGTTACCTAAAAAAATACCCAATATGTATAATAATTGTTATTATAGACCTTAAGGAGATTGACCAAAATATGGAATATATCCCTAAAATAAACAGTTAAACGCAAAACAAGGTTACCTTTTCTTCCCTAGCCATTTGGTAGATTTATCAAAATTCATTAAAAAAAACTAATAAAGGTATCATCATGATATTTTAACTCCAAATTTTTGAGGTATTAATCTTAATCCTGTTCAAATTTTAATTTAAATTAAAAAAAGTAAAACTAAAACTAAACTAATTTAAAAAACAATTTTTTTACTCCCACCTTTAAAACGCCCATTATCGCACATGTTTCCTTGACTTTAAGGCGTTTTAGTTACGGGCAGAAGTTAGCAACAGGTTTTTAGTCACGGGCTGAAGTTAGCTCTAAGTTAGTTAACCGTTGTCAAATGTCATACTATCGTTAAAATAAAGTGCCTTTCTTGTAAAATAATATAAATGTGAAAATTATTTTATTATCTCAACACTTCGTGCGCAGAAAATATACTGGTTTAACCTACACATATAGCACAAATGACACGTAATTAATTAGACTTAATATTTTGTGTTATTTAGAAATGTAACAATAGATAATATATATATATATATATATATATATATATATATTAGGGTGATTCATTTCCGCAAAGTTTTTGTTTTCTTCGGTGCTCAAGCAAAATATTAATCTGCATATAGAAAAAAAAATTCTCAACAAGTTTGAGCTCTTAATATCAATTTTAAGTACTTGCAGTTTAAATTTAAAGTTTTCCCATTTAAAATGCATGTAATAAAAATGTTTTTATTTCAAATTTCTAATGCTTACCCACCTTTGACAATATTGCAAATCGGTTTAATACACCTTATGGGGAATTTCACGCTCTTTAAAATTGCTTTTAAGTTTTTTTTTGTAACTCGCATTGGTTCACCAGTAGGAGTCGTCAAAGGACAGTTTTTGAAAAAAATCGGTTTTTTTTAAATTTTTTCTTACAAACCGCAAAAAGTAGGGAGAAAAGTTTTTGTTTTCTTCGGTGCTCAAGCAAAATATTAATCTGCATATAGAAAAAAAAATTCTCAACAAGTTTGAGCTCTTAATATAAATTTTAAGTACTTACTATTTTACCGTTTAAAATGCATGTAAAAAATATATTTTTTTTTTCAAATTTCTAATGCTTACCCACCTTTGACAATATTGCAAATCGGTTTAATACACCTTATGGGGAATTTCACGCTCATTAAAATTGCTTTTGAGTTTTTTTTGTAACTCGCATTGGTCCACCAGTAGGAGTCGTCAAAGGACAGTTTTTGAAAAAAATCGTTTTTTTTTTAATTTTTTCTAACAAACCGCAAAAAGTAGGGAGAAAAAAGGGCTGAATCATAAAAAAAGTTATCCAACCAATATTTAATGAATTTACAGCTATTTTTATAACTGAAAACGTAAGAAATTGATAATTACCAACTCATAATGTTATTTAGATTGATTTTTTCTATTTATTATCATTATATTTCCCTACACTAAGAAGTTTTTTAAAATTATTAATTTCTCACTTATAATGAATATGAAAACAACAGATAAATTCATAAAAAAATAGCAAAAAAGTATAAATGAAGATTATTTAATTTTTTGAAGCGAAATTTGAAATATGTTACATAACCTTCTGTATATTCCGATTAAAGTTTTGTTTTTTTTATGAATTTATGTGTTGTTTTCATATTCATTATGAGTGAGAAATCATAATAATTTTAAAAAAGTTCTTAGTGTAGGGAAATATAATGATAATAAATAGAAAAAATCAATCTAAATAACATTATGGGTTGGTATTTATCAATTTCTTACGTTTTCAGTTATAAAAATGGCAGTAAATTCATTAAATATTGGTTGGATAACTTTTTTTTTTATAAATCAGCCCTTTTTTCTCACTACTTTTGGCAATTTGCTCGAAAAAATAAAAAAAACGATTTTTTTTCAAAAACTGTCCTTTGACGACTCCTACTGGTGAACCAATGCGAGTTACAAAAAAAAACTCAAAAGCAATTTTAAAGAGCGTGAAATTCCCCATAAGGTGTATTAAACCGATTTGCAATATTGTCAAAGGTGGGTAAGCATTAGAAATTTGAAAAAAAAAAAACATTTTTTTTACATGCATTTTAAATGGGAAAACATTAAATTTAAACTGCAAGTACTTAAAATTGATATTAAGAGCTCTACCTTGGTGAAAATTTTTTTTTCTATAGGTAGATTAATATTTTGCCTGAGCACCGAAAAAAAACAAAAACTTTGCGGAAATGAATCACCCTAATATATATATATATATATATATATATATATGTTACGGCTAATGTGCAAACTTGGATAGTTTATAAACTAGCTGGATAGTTTATAAACTAGCCAAACTGTCAGCTATTTTAATTGAAAACATATTTTCAACTAAATTAGCGGCTAGTTTACAAAATAACCAAGGATTTTGGCTAATTTACTTGAAATTATTAGGGAAACTAAAATAGCTGGATAGTTTGTATACTATCCAATTCAGTTTGGCTAATATGAAAACCAAAATTTCTAGTAACACAAAATAGCCAAGCTTTAGCTAGTTTGTAAAGTTTACAATGTAAACTAACCAACCAATTCTCTGGCTAATTTATTAAAAAAGTGAGGTTACGTCATTGTTTTTCGTTTTGCCGGCTTAACCGGATTTGTTTTGTGCATTTTAACGTTTTTAAAATGAATCATAGGCAAAATATTAACGCTTCCTTGTTAGAAAACTCAACAACACAACCCTACCGACCCCGCCCCATTGCCCCCCCCCGCCCCATTGGTCAAATGGTCAAAAATGAAAGAAAAAAACCCAAACCAACCCAAACTCAACAACACAACCCAACCGACCCCGCCCCATTGAGCAAAAAACCCAACTAAAATGGGCAATAGCCAGAGAATTAGTTGGTTAGTTTACAAACTAGCTAAAGCTTGGCTATTTTGTGTTACTAGAAAATTTGGTTTTCATATTAGCCAAATTGAATTGGATAGTATACAAACTATCCAGCTATTTTAGTTTCCCTAATAATTTCAAGTAAATTAGCCAAGATCCTTGGTTATTTTGTAACATAACATATATATAAATATTTTTTTAATTAGTTTAAAAAATGGTGAATGCGCCGGGATTAAATTTAACTTTGATTAATTTGAATTTTTAATTATCCCACAGAAACCCTGCATTTTTTCCTTGATTGTCGTTATATAGAAACCTTCGCGGCTGTGCGCAAAAAAACTCTTCAAGTTTATAAATGTAAAAAAAATAATTTTCATATACCCAATGGGTATTACCCATAGGTGTATACACGGTATTATCTTCTCACCATTGCTACCATTCTAACTCCGTTATTATTGGAGCTACCAAGTCGGTTTAATTAGCATTACGAACTGGTGGAATTTTTCCTTCTGATTTAAATGGTGAAAACAGAAAAACAATTGAACGTCGGGTTTTCGAATTATTCACAAAAATAACGTTATTTAAATGAAACACCCTGTATATTTTTATATATTTTAAAAGACAATTTAATTTGGAATACAAAATTATAAATGCATAACCACCCTAAACTTATAAATAAACAATTTATAAACACTTGAACTTTTTAATGGTTGTTAAAATAACCAAATTATTACTTTATTGATGGTGAGATTTTCATTTGTCAAAAATAATCACCTAGTACTATGAGTACAATATTCGCTGCAATTTGTACTAGTCCAATATTCGAATGTAATGCCACTAGAGGTTTGATTTAGACGGATATTTCTCTCGAGCTTTGTTGGAGTCAAATTAATAAACCAGCAAAGTTTAAGTTAAAAGTCCAAAAAACATTCTGTTCAATTGAACCTTTGTTGAAAAAATTCCACTAGTAAATAAATTAGTTTTTATGTCACTATGCCATTTCTCTATTTAATAATTATTGAATAGAGAAATGGCAAAGTGACATAAAAATTAATTTATTTACTAGTGGAATTTTTTCAACAAAGGTTCAATTGAACAGAAAGTTTTTTGGACTTTTAACTTAAACTTGCTGGTTTATTATCTCTTGCATTTCTGTTCCTTTTTTTATCCGTCAGCAAACCGTATTTTTGACAGTATTTAATAGGTTTAAATTGACAGAAGTGAAATTGTCACAACAATTTCTTTTGATTGCTCAATAATTTAGAAAGAAAGCGCTTTGATTGGTCCACTTTTGATAGATGACAGGTGAAAAAAATTGTCATTAATATTTAAGCATTTTAAAGCGTTTTTAAATCATCACCAACTTATATCTCAATTTGTATAATAGAGATTTAATATGACTAACTTTCTTTTTTTATTTATTTAAGTTAGGTACATCAAGACCCCAAATATTGGGTAAGCGATATTTTAGTGTGTTTTTGTGTTGTTTACTAGAGATTTATTTTTTATACGCTTGTAATAATAATCTTTACTAATAATTTTAAAACATATTTTTGTCTTACCTCCTATGCAATACAAATGTCCATCTAATGCTGCTACTCCACAACTACTTCTTCTGGATGACATCGAGGGAACTGGATGCCAAATTCCTTCTCTTGGATCGTACCTTCAAAAATATACTGTTAATAATACATGGGCGCATGTACAGGGTGATCCCCTATAATAACTTTTTATTTGTCCTAAAAACTGAAAAATACCTTTTTGAACGTATAAAATAAATTGAAAAACTGATCAGTATACAGGGAAAAACAAAAAGATTATTTTTTTATCAATCACCTTATATATAAAATTATTTTTCGATTCCTTGTAAAATTCCAAACATAATTCATATAATATACCATATACCTAAATTCAACCGTTTCTGAAATATTCGCATTTATAACGTCAAGTTCAATATTTTTAACTGTTACAAGAAGCCTTAGAATAACAAAATGTTTATTGAAAATAAATAACTATAGCAACATTTTATATATTGTTAAGTCGCTAAAAATGCCGTACTCAGACAGAGAAAAACAAAAAAATTCAACTTATTATCTTAAAAATAATTTGATCAATTTTTTTTATACATAGAAAAAAAATGTTTTTTAGTTGGTAAATAACGGACACCCTAATAGCCTATTAGTAATAGGTACAGTGTGTCCCAAAGATTGATGAAAAGATGCTTTTTAAAATGTAAACTCTCCTAAAAATTTAAGAGGCACTCTTATTTTTGCCATAAATATCAAAATTCTTTAGTAGATAAACTTTTAAACAAAAAAGCTAAACAAAATCTAACTTAAACTGTCTTTTTTTATACTGGAATTTTTATTTGCATTTGTTAAAAGTAAAAAATAAAAAATTAAATCATTTTAATGATTTCCTAATTTATAAACATCTTATCTCAAAGTTTTAAATTGCAAATTCATTTTCTTAACAAAAAAAATGGCTTTTTGTCTTAAAATTAATTTTTGTCTTATTGTTTACTCGATCCACGGACACACTATAGTTAAACAATATAGTTTTTGTTTGACTTGTAGATCTCAAACGGTTTAGAAACTAAAATCTGATTAAATTAGTTTGGACGTGCTCTACATACACCCTGTGATTGATTGTGGCCCAGGCACTAAAAATAATTTAGACCAATCGACTTATCGAGTTAGGTTAATTAGGGCCTAGGGATTAAAAATTCATTATTTACTACTTTGGACCAATTAAAAAATTCGACTACTGTCATATCGTTCTAACCTCAATTTCTTTCTTTAAGAATTGTACGTTTTATGAATTATTTGACAATTAAAATTTGCGCCTTGACGATGAAATGGCAACTTGGCAACATTGCTAAAAAATAAACTTACCTTTCAACTGAAGCCTGATAATTTGTTGAGTCAAATCCCCCCAATGCGTATATACAATTTTCTAAAAAAAATTTAACAATTAAACTAATTGATAAAAATAACATACCTATTGAATAATATTCGTATTATAATAATAAAAAGAGGGCAGTTCAAAAGTCAAATTATTATACACGGTCGTACAAAGTAGTATAACAACATGGCAAAGAAAGCATATTAACTTTCTCACTGAGACACTGAGCTAGGCTATAATAGCGCTTTATTCGCCTGTTGTATATTTATATGTGTTTTATTTCACAATATCTTCTTTAACCTCACGCATGAGTAAATTTTAACTGATATCTTTTTAATTTTGGAGATTTTTTCTATTAGTTAAAAGTTTTTATTGGGTAAAACAATTCAGACAGCGCCTAAATAACGAGCACCCCACTATTAACATACCTACTACAGCTATTCTACAGTATCTTCTTCTGGTGTTCATGGCTGGACAGCTACACCACACTCCGGTCAACGGATCGAATCTTTCCATCGAACTTAAACATGAGGCACCATCGTATCCACCACAAACATATATTAGACCGTCAAAAGAAGAGATTCCTAAAAAATGTCAACCAATTAAACCTCCAAAATAAGGAGGGGTAAATTGTCAAAAACAGTACTGTCAAATTGTCATGTAAGTATGTCACTACTGTTTTTGACAATTTACACCTCCTCTGCCGTCAAAAATAACAAAAATCTGCCATTCTTGATGTTGTATAATGATAATGAGGATAATTATGGTGGCGACATTGAGTTATTATTTGTCAGAACTGTCATTGCCAAATTAAAAAATTTAATAGTAAACCTACTCGTAGTATTAAACAAGACATATATCTATAATATACAGTGTGGCCCATTTGTTTGCGACTCACCCCTGTAAAATCTTTATTTATTGTGCGATTTTAACCGGATTTGTTTTAAACTGTAGATCTTGATCAGTTTTTAAGAATTCATATTAGCGATTTTTTTAAACAAAATCTAAGCACGGCACTGGATTCACCACCCCTCAAAACTACCCTAAACTAAATTTTATTACAAAATTTTAAGAAAAAAAATGCACAAACATAACTACAAAAATTTTTTTTGTCAAGTTATCCATGAAAAAAACATTGAAATAAAATTAAACTAATATTAACATGGTACTATTACTATAAGTTTAATTTTATTTCAATGTTTTTTCATGGTTAACTTGACAAAATAAATTTTTGTGGTTATTATTTTGCATTTTTTTTCTTAAAATTTTTTAATAAAATTTGGTATATAGACCAGTGCAGAAGCTTTTAAAAATGATAAAAAGAGAAAAAAAATAACAGTAGGATGAAACCCATTGGAAAAGGAGGGGAATATAATAAAAATTAAAGGAAAAATAAATTACGGGCGATCTGAGTTCGGGAAGTGAGAGGGGGGGGGTTAAGGGTAAAAAATGGTTTATCTTGATTTCCGGCAAAACTACAAGTCCTATGGAAAAAAGTTAAATATCAAAGGTAATAAAAAGATCTACAACTTTTGTATTTACAATTTTTTCACATAACCTCAAAATTTATGTGAAAAATTCAAAAAACCAAGTTTTTGGTTTTTTATTTTTATCTTTTTCAAAAAAAAATTTTTTTCCACGAAATTTGGTGAAAACTTACCTTTTTATGTCCCAAATACACTGTAATTTATTTGATTTGAAATATTTATTATTTCGCCTTATTTTGACTTAATATCAAAAAAGCACCCTAATTTTCAATCGAAAATTCTCGCGTCAAAATATCAGCTTTTTTCAAAAAGTCGGTGTGCTTTTTGTTCGACGAACTCTCTACTTTCTGATGGTGTAAAAAAAAATATACATTACTATGGTAAATGTTCTCAGAAAATACAAAAAATATTATAATGAATAACGAAATCAGAATGAAGTATCTAAATTCAATAGTATGATTTACATGTATTTTTATATTTTATGAGATTTTCGGACATAAATGTTATTAGAATTTAATAAATAAACTTTTTAACTAAAAAAAATTGCAACAATCCCATTTTTTTGATGAAATTGTACATAATGATTAAAATAAATTTTCGAATTCGAGTTTTTTTCGTTATTCATTATAATATTTTTTGTATTTTCTGAGAACATTTACCATAGTAATGTATATTTTTTTACACCATCAGAAAGTAGAGAGTTCATCGAACAAAAAGCACACCGACTTTTTGAAAAAAGCTGATATTTTGACGCGAGAATTTTCGATTGAAAATTAGGGTGTTTTTTTTTATATTAAGTCAAAATAAGGCAAAATAATAAATATTTTAAATCAAATAAATTACAGTGTATTTGGGACATAAAAAGGTAAGTTTTCACCAAATTTCGTGGAAAAATTTTTTTTTTTGAAAAAGATAAAAATAAAAAACCAAAAACTTGGTTTTTTGAATTTTTCACATAAATTTTGAGGTTATGTAAAAAAATTGTTAATACAAAAGTTGTAGATCCTTTTATTACCTACAACTTTGCCATTTAACTTTTTTCCATAGGACTTGTAGTTTTGCCGGAAATCGAGATAAACCAATTTTTACCCTTAAAACCCCCCTCCTCCCACTTCCCGAAGTCAGATCGCCCGTAATTTATTTTTCCTTTCATTTTTATTATATTCTTCTTCTTTTCCAATGGGTTTCATCCTACTGTTATTTTTTTTTGGTTTCAAAAATTATCGACCCTGGTCTAATAGGATAGTTTTGAGGGGTGGTGAATCCAGTGCCGTGCTTATATTTTGTTTAAAAAATTCGCTAATATGAATTCTTAAAAATGTACTCTTAAAAACTGACATAGTAGGCCCTGTATTTTGTATTAATATGGCGTCTTTTGCTCCAAAAATACAGTTTATCAAGATCTACACTTTAAAACAAATTCGGTTAAAATCACCCAATAAATAAAGATTTTACAGGGGTGAGTCGCAAACAATGTGTATTATAATACACATTATTAATATATTATTAATATATATATTTTTACTTTAATTAAGTAATTTTATTAGTAACAAAATTTATTATAACCCCACTTTCTTTCGGTTTTAAAGATTATTATAGTCTCATCTCGTATATATACAGTAGCGGGCTGTGGTTTACGGGCAGGTTTTTTTCTCACTCTGTTCATATTATAAACAGAGTGAGAAAAAAACCTTAAGTTAAAGTGCAACGAAAACGACAGAGTAAAAAAATGCGCCTACATCTGGACGCTACTGGTAGGTACATATCAATAAATCTGACATTTGTAAGTCAGTTCCAACCTCACTTTTTCCCAATTTATAACCCAATTGCAAGACAAGCCATTAACCTCTGAATACAGAGATACTCTGTATTCAGATTTATTGAATTGAATTGAATTGCAAGACAACGTAAATAATGAGTTTAATGTTCTGCATTGGGTCGTAGAAGTTGTATATGTCATAATGACGAGAATAAAGATCCTGGAGTAACCTTTCACCGGTAAAATATTTTTTCACAGGTAAAATAATAATTTATAGGTTAAATAATCTTTTTGATGATTACTCAAAATTTGCTTTCCAAGGTTAGTTTGGTAGAGTGCTTATTAGTAATTTAAAATTTACATTTATTTCAAATCTTGACAATTTATTTTTTGGAATAATTTTTGAGAATGACAGCGAATTATGAAAAAGAGATTAAATAAAATTATTGAATATTGAAAAGAAAGAGACCAGAGAGAAATACTGGCACTCTATGATTGGCTGACATAAAAATCCTCGATAACGTAAAAATCACAATTGTAGTTGGCACTTTACACACTCGCATTGCGTGTAATATGCTACTTACAGCTCTTGTAATATAATAATAATAATAATAATGTTTAATAAAAAACTTATGAACAAAAACATAGTTAAAAAGGTTGATGCATAAAGGTTTTAACTGGCATGTTCTTGTTATGCAAAAAGGTGTATTTTCATACCTAAACATGACCTTTTAGTCCCCATGGGCGTGATTGGGATCCATGAATTATTTAAAGGGTTATAACATTCGGCTGTAGCAAGATCTGATGCTCCATCATAGCTACAAATAAAAAAGTTGTAAAATATTCAAAAATTAATAAAAAACTCTTGGTTCTTGAACATAATTATAAAAATGTTTTTATAAGCATGGGTCAGTTCTAACCAGTGGCGGCCCGTTAGGGGAGGCAGGTGAGGCAGTGCCTTATCATAGAGAATTTAAAAATTAAGTATATTTTCAATATTTTACTTTCTATAATATACTATAAATTTTTAATATTTGGATTACATGAATTGTGAAATAGTCAATAAAATTGATTGATTTTATACGAGGAATACCAAGCAACATTTAAATCATTTGAATTTGAAACGACCGCAATTTAAACTAATATTTATAGCTAGATGATTGTCTAGAAGCATGCCTGAACTAATTTAGACTCACGATTGGCGTTAGCCTTGTGTCGTTCTATTACAATGCGATATCATAGTTGTCTCCTTCTCTCGTATTAGCATACGCGAGGCAGGCACGCCTACATCCAAGGAAATAAGCAGGTGTTGTGGCAACACTGTTGCGGAATTTTAGATAAATTATACTTCACACGTTTTTCAAAATTCAATAATAAATGGTATTATTTTTCTTATAATAAATCGATTTAATCGAAATTATATTTCTATTCTAAAATAAACATATTTTAACACTATCGCCATCTTGTAGCGATCACAGTAACCAATCAAATAAATACAGATTCCTTCTTTAGGTTTGTTTTGGTTATAAAATTCTGAACTGTTTAAAGAACAAATCTGTGGTTATTTACGCAATATTTTGTTTATTCTTTTTCTATGAGTTTGTCTATTTTATGATTCTTTAGTAAGTGGTTTTAGTTAATTGAACTTGGTGATTTATGTGAATTTAGTCATTATGGATTTACGAATTTCTCTTCAGTATAAGCGAGTTTAAATATGTATAACATTTTTATAGGTTTTGACGAGGTTTTTGATTTTAATTTAGGAGTTTTATGTGTGAATTTGTAAGATTTCTATTTAATTTTGAAGACAACAGATTCATTAATTTATATATTTATTTTTTTTATTTATAAGAGTTATATTTATTTTGTTGGTTATTTATAAGAGTAATATTTATTTTATTGGTAATTTATAAGAGTTATATTTATTTTGTTGATTGTTTCGCACTGTTCCCATTTTTATAAGGAGAATTTAGTTTTAGTTTTTAGTTATACACAACTCATTTATCCCTTTTTTCTCTCCAGTTCCCCTTACTTCCCTTCGGTTCCGCTTTCCAGTTTTCCTTTTTCCCGGCAAGATGGTGTACTATTATTAATTTAATGATTAGGGCTTAAACCTAATGGTTATATTAATAATTCTGCACTTTACCTCTACACCTTCACGTGGTTCTTGCTAAACAATGAAATATTAATTAGACAAAAATGAGGTTTATTAAAAATAAACGTCATTTTTACAATAAAATTTATTTGATTGACAAAGTAGAGGATTCCTTCCCCACCACAGTCTAAGTTTTTTACTTATTTTTAAGTATAGGTTGTGAACTGCGACGTCAGTTTTTTTTAAGTTGGGTTTAAAAAAATTTCTTCGCCTTTAAATGAGGGCGAAACCCTGCCTCTGCCTCACCAAAATGAAATGTCACGGGCCGCCACTGGTTCTAACAAACCATATCATAGAAAATATAAAACAAATCAATAGCGCAGACTGGATGGTATGAATATTAGTTACTTTTGCTCATACTACCCTGATGGCAAAATTTGATTCTAAGAATCTTCTAAGAAGATATGACCCGGAATAATGGAATATTCTTAGAACCTTTCCTTATTGCTAAGAATGTTTTAGGGACTTTTAAAACATTCAATAGATACCCTTTTAATGATGCAATTAGATTCTTAGAAGCTTCTTAAAACCTTCCTAAAAAGCATTCTAAGAACATTTAAAGAATACGTTTTTGGAATGTTCTTAGAAGGTTTCTTATGGAGCTTCTAGGAAGCTTTTGAGAATATTTCCAAATATGTCAGATACCCACGTTCTAATAGGTTGGATTCTACATTCGTAAAATTCTTCAGGAGGCGACAAATAGGCCTCACTATCATAATATGACAGTGAAATATATTTGTCGTCCCCTTAAAAAATTTTGCGACCTATTAATATATATTTATTTAAAAATATTAAATCAACAATTTGACCTCTAAACCATAAGTTGTATGACATTATTTCATAAAAAGTAAAATTGGAAAATTTTGTGGGATAAGTCAGATTAGATTGAAGTTGAAGATAGTTAGGATTATTATACATACATAAAAATATTAATTCAGATATAAAAAATCGGTACCTATACAAATTAATAAATATTTATTTTTAACATAAAATAAAATTTTAAAAAACAAAATATTTCCTTATAAAATAATTCTTCATAAAAGAAAAAACCAAATAGTTCTTCATAAAAAAAACAATTTTCATTGTATTTAAGTTGGATAGAAGATTTTATGTAAAAGCCGGATAATTTAGATACCTATAGTAAAAGTATTTTTGTTATCGAATATTGTTTTAATTTGACAAATAACTATAAAAAATATTTTGGGTTGTGTTTTTTACTTAGTATTTAATACTAAGTATACGTAGATTATGGTATATTTTACTATTATATAGGTACCTAACTGAACTGAATATGTTCCAGGAATATTCCTAAATGAACTTTCTATAGCAATTACTTTCTCAACATTCTAAGCATATGTTTAGAGTGGATTAATTTTTACCACTAAACTTTGCACCTTTTAAGAACCTGCCTATAGGCCAGTGAGATTATTCTTAGGATTATGCTATATTTCTTTTAAGCATGTTCTTTAGAAGAAATATAGCATTATCCTAAGAATATTCTCACTGGAAGGTTTAAAAAACATTCTTAGAACACGACTAGAAGAAATATAGCATGATCCTAAGAATATTCTCACTGGAAGGTTTAAAAAACATTTTTAGAACATGACTAGAAGAAATATAGCATGATCCTAAGAATATTCCCACTGGAAGGTTTAAAAAACATTCTTAGAATAAACTGTGCTATCACTGATAGCCTATCAGGGTATGCTTAAAAAACCTTTTAAGGGTTTCGTAAGTTTTGCTAATCGTTTTAAAACATACACGGTAATAAATATTAATAAATTAGTTGCTTACCCTCCTACAACATATAAAAGTCTTCTAAGCCCTGTGACTCCTGACCTGGACCGTCGCCATTGCATTGGTGCTATACTGGACCAAGTGTCACTTTTTGGATTGTAAACCTCGCATTCTGAATGAATGGCAAATAATGAACCCCCACCTTAAAATTAATAAAATAGTTATTTTTCTCGATTTTTATGTAAGAATGTCATATTCTCGCACGCAAAATCGTTGAAGAATGAAGCTCATTCTTAAACGATTTTTGGTAACATTTAGTTTTTAAGTATTGGTACCCCCAAAATGTCAAACTGATTAATAACCTCAAATTCATTACTTTTATTGAAAATGAAGCCTTTATTATTGTTTTGTAATATAAAGTTTGCTCCAACAATGCATTTTAATGCAAAATTTTAAGTTTAATGTGTAAAAGTGCAGTTCAGGTTGTACTTGTGCAGGATAACAAATATTGTCATTTTGTGTTGCCAACTGACATTTTGCGAGAAAAATCCCCTAACTAACAACGACCACAAAACAATTAAAAAAACCTAAATAAAAGTTAAAATCGAGAAAATAGTATAAATCACACGTTGCAGAAGGCTATTCTCGCACTCATTCGTTCGTCCACTCGCTCCTTCGTCGCTCGAGGCCAAATTTCGAATTCGTGCGAGAATATGTGGCCTTCTGCAACTTGTACTTTAATATACTATTAACAAACAAAAATTATTTAATAAAGGAAAACCCTATCTGACAGCTAAAGGTATCTGACATTTTAAATATGGTTTTAACAGTCTAACATTTGAAGTTCTTAAACATTACAATGAGTTGACTAAAATGACAACATTAACTTAACTCATATTTGAAAAAAAAAATCATCAAAATCATCCTTCGTTCAATATTTTATTCAACCACTTGAAAAAGACTTGCATAAGGAATATTATTCCTATATATAAATAAATTACTTACCAATTGCAAACAAGTAAGGATCTGCTCCTTTCGGTTTTCTTTCGATTGTCCTTGTAGTTGAAAGTGCACACCTTCTTTCAGGGGCCAGGTGATATCTCATTGCTTCAAGTAAAAACTCCCTACACTCTATATTATCCCTAATTAATTTTTCGTTGTCTACTCTGGTCATAAGAAATTCTCTATTTACTAGGGGCAGTCGTACATGAACCATTAACTAAAAATAATAGAAATAGTCAAATTGGTAGATTTAAATTTAAAAAGGTTTTGACCCAGCCGGGGTTAAAATCGAAGGTCACACTTGTCAAGCAGATGTCTAATCGCTGTACCACTGCTACTTTTATAAAAATAGATAGATATATCTGTCAATAAATTTTGTTAATAATATTTTAAAGTTAAATATTTTATTTGAGAATAAAAGAAATTAGTTACTTTTTACTAAATAAAATAAGTATTTTATAGAGAATAATAATAAAAGTGCTTCCACAATCAATAAAATATTGTTTCAAAGTGGTCCAAAATTATTAAATCTTTATTAATAAATAATTATGTTAATAAACATGTAATTTTTCTTAAACCACCGATGTACTGTGTCTTGGAATGGTACTTTATGCCCATAAAAAATAGGTTGTTAAGATGATCCAAGTTAAAAGTTGTAAATAATAATTAAACTAAACAATATACGAGTGATAGGTATCCATGTTTAGTGAAGATGATTAGTAAAGCTCTTGCGACAAAATTCAGGACGTAGATAAAGTAAGAAATACTTTATATCGATGGTTATTTGACAAAACATCGTAAGCGACAATTTTGTTGAATTACTTTTTATTTTATCAAAGTGTCAGTTACGATAAGCTGCACATGTTAACATAAAAGTTATCCCAATGTTGGAATCTAATATTGGTCAGTTTGAATATTTTTGTAAGCATCTCTTCTTTTTAATTTGTTACCGATTTATAACGTAAGCGCCTATATGTTTCCGACAAATAATAGTAAGCAACTCCGAGACATGGCGTTTGCGATTTAATATTGTGTCGCTTACGATAATATTGTGCTCCCGCCTTGATCTATCAAGGCGTTATTCCCGCTCTAAACAGTTTATTCGTGAGTATACCTGCATCATGGTGATTGCTACCAAGTTTTAAAACAATATTTTATTTGATGAAAAGCTTATAATTGCTTTTTTTATTGCATTATTAATAGTTCTACTAATTATTATTGTTTGTTCGCAGTGTGGTTCGTTAAAAGTGTTTTTTGTAGTAATTGTATGTTGTTCTAGCGTCAAATAATTTGACTCAAATTTATAACGGTTAGATCATGGTACCATGGGTTAGATCATGGAGCCTACACAAGGAATCCGAACATCATGTAAATAAGAACCTTCCTAAGATAAGAGGGCGCTGGTGTTCCGTTTATTCTGAAACAATTGTTAAACTTGTACCGAAACGCTAGCATCGACAATCAGCGCCGCTGGTGGTGAAAAAAAGAAACTTAATTTGTACAATTTAAGGGCAGGTTTTGTCAATTTCCCCTATTAAGTTCGGGCTCCTTGTATAGGCTCCATGGGTTAGATACTGGTTTTGTGAATAAAAATCGTTCGTTTTTTTTTCAAAGGAAGCTAATGTAGAATTTCATTTTCAAACATTGGCAAAATATCGTTGGTGAAATTTTATAAATTAATTTTTTTGTAATTTTTTTTAGTTAATAATAAAAGTAAAAAAATAAATGTCGCTAACGATGTTTTGACAAAAGTAATCATCAAATCTATATCCCACAAAGTAACGTAAATGTAACTTAAGCGACAAGACTAATTTTACATTTTTCAAAAGATGTTCTTATAAAATATCGTATGCCACAAAATTTAATGAAAATTTTAGATTGGATTCGATCTTACTTAAATATTTAAATTCTACATTAATAAAATAATGCCTCACCAGATAAATAACTTAAAAAATAAAGCTCCCACAAAAAAATCTCTCCTGTAAAATTTAGGTTTTGTCGCTTACGATGTTTTGTCAAATAACCATCGATATGGCTCAGAAAACTGTTTTCGGGGATTTCCGACTAGGCGAAGAATATACTGAATCTGTTATTAGTCCATGGATAGTAACTGGTTGTATTTTTGAATAAGACTGATTCCCCGTTCTTACAGCGAAATTACAAGAAAACCGGACCAGATGGCCAATTCTGAGTAAGTCTTCACGTTTGCATTTTCCTTCAATAATAAGGACATCAAAAAAGAAAGTTGGTTCTCTTAGTGACAAAATGATAGATAATTTTTCTTGGTTTATGGGCAAATTTTCGTTAAATGTACATTTGCTGTCCCCAGCTAATTTTATTTTTATTTTTGACCTTTGTTGATAAGTTTTGTATTTATTATATTTAAATACCCCCTTCCTGTTAGGACCCATCGTATTTTTTTTTAATTACTTTATGTTTCTATATATGGCAGAAAAACTAGGTGAAATGTCCTGTAACCTAACTGTCCCCATAGGCGTTTTTTTTATTTAAATTATTATATTCTTCTTCTTTGCAGCTTTCTTCTGAAAAAATAAATTATTTCTGAACAATGGAACAAGTTCTTTTATTCGTATATAAAAATAAAATAGTTTTCTACAAAGTAGTTTAAACAGAAAAAAATATAAGTTGACATTGAAAAATCTTGTCTTTTTCCTAACGTCGTCTTCTATGCCGACTGCTTCGAAATAGAGACACGAGATAGAGATACTACCGTGTTATTTCTAGAGGGCATACATGTTTGATAGTTCGGCAACAACAAGTGAGCACGTGTAAAGTGTGTGAATTTTTTTGTAAATATTTTAAAGGTAAGATTTTTTTTAGTACAATTTTGGTGTATTTACAAAACGCTACATACAACTCTTGTTTTAGAAGTTAACTTTTTTATTTTCATTTTCTATTATAGCATGGTAGAAATTCCAAACAAATGCCGAAAGATATTTACATTTAACAGTATTTCTGAAAAATAACGTTTGAAAAAATCAAAAGCAATGTGTCATAAAACGTTCAGGAAGATGCGTTAGGAGGAGGACAATGTTTCATTTCTTCCTTGTGTTCCTCCCTATTTCAGATTAACCCTATAAGTTTTATTTCTTTAAAGTTTATTTTTGTTATTTATAAACTTATAGAATTTTTTTGCAGTTTATTACACTGTTCTATCACAAAGGAAAAAAAATCGATCAAATTGACCTGCCTCGACAAAATATATATACAAAATGTACATTTAACGAAAATTCGCCCTTATATAATGCGACGTGGACAATCAGGCAATGTTTGAAGAAGATATTACAGCAAAAAGACAACTTTGGGTTACCCAGTCTATATAAATTAAAAAAAAGAAGCAAAAACTGTGACATTACAAACAATTGTGACATTAATGGTTTATGAAATACTTAAATGGTAACCTAGAGCGTTCAAATTTGGTACCTAATCAAATACAAAAATTAACTATGTCAACAATAATGGTGGACCACTCTATTACTCACCTTAGAAATATATTGACTACGGTCTGGAAGATCGTGTTTAACCCAGTTCAAAACAGCGCTGAAAACATCTTCTTCCGATGAAATGTTAAGTTGGCTGTTGGATATCAAATCCTTCACTTCCTGAAAAGGCAACAGTAAAAATTCCTCGGTGGCGATCACTTGCTGAAAATTTTGCAAGGCGTAGACGTGTGACTTGAGGTGCAGCTCCTTGCAGGAATGGGTGTCTGAAATAGTTTTATAAAACTAGATGTAAAAACTTTTTGAAACCCATCCATACCTGCGAAGCTCCTGATGCCCAAGCAGTTGGTCGGGTGAAGCTGCTTGAGCAGGAAGCGGCAGCACGCCTCCCTGACCTCCTGCATCTGCAGGATGCTGCTGGCAGGTAGGAGGACCTGCACGTTGTCGGGCGTGATGGTGATCTGGCCGGTGTAGGCGTACTGGATCAGCAGCTCGATGGCAGTAGAATCCATTTCGTGTATCACGATCTCGTTAAGGCAGTGCTCTTTCATATCACCTACAGATTGGTGAAAAAGTTTAGTTTAAAACTAAAATTGAGATTTTTTATTGTTTACTGCATATCGCACTTCTACATGGAGAGAAAAGTATAATACTGATTACCATAATTATAATACCCTTTACTATAATTTATTTTACTATTTGGGACAACTATCTTGTATATTGCCAGATACTATGCATATTTAGTAATTTTTAAATATCCATTTATGTTAAACCTTAAGGTAAAATATTATTATTCTCAACCAATTTTGTTTTTAATTCTTATTATAATTAGATTTTTTCCATTACTAAAAAGTATAGTAAATTTTAAAATATTATGTTGCCATTTTAAATATAAAATATTTTAAAATCAAATAGTTTTATATGTTAACAATTAAAAATTGTAACATATTTATTGTACTTTTTCTTACCGTACGAGGGACCGTGCCCTACTCCGGAGCTAACTCGATTAATCAAGTTCGCGAGTGACAAGTGCATACCCCTCGTGCTAGGATGTGATTCCAACGCCCACCACTACGTGTGGGGCAGTACCAACACCAATAGTAGGGGAGAATCTCTGCTAGGGTATTTGGCATCAACAGACTTGGAGGTAATAAACAGAGGCAAAGAACCAACGTTTGTTATTTGCAACCGGAAGGAAGTAATAGACATAACGTTGGCATCAAGGTCAGTATATGAAGATGTTTCTAACTGGAGAGTGACCAACGATATAACGATGTCTGATCACAGGATGATCAGATTTGAGTTAAATGTCGACAAGGTCACTCCTAACCCAAGGAGGAATCCAAGGGCTACAGATTGGGAGAAATATCTCACCAATCTAAAAAGTCAAACTTGGGAACCTCCTGTGGACATTACCACCAAAGAACAGTTAGAGAAGGAAGTTAACCACCTAAATAGTACGATTGCCACAGCCTACGAGACTGCTTGTCCGGCCAAGGTGGCTAAGGGCCGAAAGGTCCCGTGGTGGAGTGACGTGCTTGACGACCTTCGAAAGAAGGCAAGGCGCGCATTCAACCGGGCTATCAAGGATGGGCTGCAATCCACGTGGGATACGTACAGGGAGGCCAGAAAGTCTTACAAAAAAGAGTTAAGGCGCAGCAAGGATATCAGCTGGAAGACATACTGTGGAACTGTAGAGTCACTTCAGGAGTCAACCAGGCTGATGAAGATCCTTAGCTGTGAGTCAAAAAGGAATGTAGGAATCCTAAGAAGGTTGGATGGATCGTGGACGAACACCAGTGAAGAGTCCCTAAGACATCTCCTGGAAACGCACTTCCCCGGCGAAACTCCTTCCCACACGTCAACAACGGAGGGGCCAGAGACCCTTACCTGGGACTTAGGCCTTGCCAAAGACGTCGTGAAGGAGGGATCGGTGGAATGGGCAGTAAATGCGTTCGATCCATACAAGGCAGCAGGACCGGATGGAATATTCCCAGCATTGCTACAGAGAGGCTTGGAGATTCTTCTCCCAAGAATAGAACGAATATTCCGAGCCAGTCTGGCACTGGGATATGTCCCAAGAGCCTGGAGGGCAGCTAAAGTGGTCTTTATACCCAAAGCAGGGAAAAAGACTACTCGGCTGCAAAGTCCTTCAGGCCAATAAGCCTAACATCCTTTCTTTTTAAAACATTAGAAAGGATCGTGGACCGGTACCTGCAAGAAGGGGTGCTGAAAAGGTACCCATTCCATAAGAATCAACATGCCTATAGAAATGGAAGGTCGACCGAAACGGCTCTTCATTCTATAGTGCATAGAGTCGAAAAGGCACTGCACTACAAGGAAATGGCACTAGCTGTTTTCTTTGATGTAGAGGGGGCTTTTGATAAGGCGAGGACATCTACAATCTGTGAAGCGCTACAAGCCAGAGGCACTCCCCCAGTCCTGGTTAGTTGGGTTAAATCTTCACTGGAGGAGAGGCAGGTCAGTGCATCTCTGGGAGACTGCCATTTGGACATCGGTGTGAGGGGCGGCTGCCCACAAGGCGGCTGCCTATCACCCCACCTATGGTGCTTAATAATGGATGGACTTCTGGAGAGACTGACGGCCGAAGGGCTGTATGCACAAGCATATGCAGATGATGGTACAGTCCTAATCAGAGGAGGCATTCTAGGTGTAGTCTGCGACAGAATGCAGACAGCATGCAGAATAATAGAAAATTGGTCCAAAGAAAACGGTCTGTCGGTTAACCCAACAAAAACTGACATGATTCTTTTTACCAAACGAAGGAAGATACAGGACTTCAGGGCACCAGCCATGTATGGAAGACCTCTTGAGATTACTGAAGAGGTCAAGTACCTAGGTGTTACCCTAGATAGGAAGTTAAGTTGGAAATCACACGTTGACAGAGTTGTTGACAAATCGATTGCAACTTTCTGGCAGCTGCGCCGGGTGGTGGGAAAACGCTGGGGAGTAAATCCCAAAGTCCTTCACTGGATTTATACTGCTGTCATCAGACCGCGGATACATTATGGATCAGTGGTCTGGTGGCGCAGTGTGAGCAAAACCACCATCGCTCAAAAATTGAGCAAGATACAGAGACTGGCATGTCTCGGTATCACAGGCGCAATGAGGACTACTCCAACGACGGCATTAGAGGCCTTGCTGAGCTTGCCTAATCTTTCCCTCTGGATAAAGAGAGAAGCAATGGCGAGCCATTTAAGGATGAGGGATGCCAACAATTGGTTAGGAAAAGGAATAACTTATGGTCATGAGGGCATCGCGGATATGGCTGAGAGGGAGGTCCCAATTAGCAGTATTAGAACGATGCCAGCAAAAGACCGCCTAAGTTTAAAAAAGAAGTTTTCCCTCACGATACCAACAAGAGAGCAGTGGGAGAAAAAGGATGTACACTTTGCACAAAATGCACTAGTGTGCTACACTGATGGCTCTCGTATGGCGAGTACACTGTCTTCAGGGGCAGGTTTCTGCGTGGAGGACAGGGATATCCAAAGGAGCTACCCGCTCGGAGGATATACCACTGTCTTTCAAGCGGAAGTGTTTGCCATACTTGAGGTTGCAAACTGTGAGGATATAAGAACAGGGAGTGAGACAGATATATACATCTGCTCAGATAGCCAAGCAGCTCTGAAAGCGCTTTGGGCAGCGAGAACCACATCGAAGTTGGTTCAAGAGTGTGAGGAAGCGCTGGAAAAGCTAGCAAGTACAAAAAGAGTGCATCTCGTATGGGTACCAGGTCATAGTGGGGTTGAGGGTAACGAACGGGCTGATGAGTTGGCCAGATTGGGATCTGAAACCCCCTGTGTAGGACCCGAACCAATTTTTGGAATCACGAGAAAGCAGGTCAAATCAGCCCTAAATAATTGGGCTGATAAAAGAGCGAATGAAAGCTGGAGAAGAAGCGGTGGCTGTAGGCAGACCAGGGATTTTCTGGTCACCCTAAGCAAACCCAAATCCATCTGGCTTCTAGGTAGAAGCCGAACCTCCTTGGGCCCACTTGTGAATATACTCACAGGTCATGGCCTAAGGAAACACCTCACAAGAATAGGGGCTGAAACCAGCCCCTCCTGTACCCAGTGCGGAAGGGAGGATGAAACCTCCTTTCACTTCCTGGGACAATGTGAGGCCCTCGGCAGACTAAGGTATAAAATCTTTGGAGTGATGACACTCCAAAGGGAAGAGTTGGCCTCTCTTGCCTGGCAGGATATCCTGACCTTTATAAGAAGGTCTGGAAGATTCGAAAGGGCTGGTATGGGCGAAGAGGAAGATGAGGAGTAGTCTGGTTGGTTTAGGAGGGGCAGATAAAAAGGACCATGGAGTCTAATTGTCAGGCTTCGAGCCTACCCAACCGTACTACTACTACTATTGTACTTTTTAATATACAAAAATGTTGTGAGAAAGAATTGACCTCGCCAAAGTTTTTTGTTTTGAGTGCGTTCCATCAACTTCAAATACCGACAGACAGGTGTTTTGACCTATATTGGGTATCATCAGTGTCGACACGACACTGTCGAGCAACTTGTAGTAGTGGAACACACCCAAAACAAAGAAATACCTGAGCTTATATAACATGGTTGGTAAGTCAACAGAGGCGAGATGTAAGAACATCACGTGATCCATACACAGACCACCAAAACAAATGGACGGCGCATTGCCATTCAATATCAATGCTTTGTTTGCGGTCAACAAACGGTCACAGTCTAAGCGTCAAATTGGAGATAGAATTTTATGTTTTCTTCCAGTGACGTCAACAAACGGTCACAGTCTAAGCGTTAAATTGACGATAGAATTTTATGTTTTCTTCCAGTGACGTATTGGAATTAAAAAAATAATAAGTAGGTAGGTACTTACAAACGATATTTCCATGTATTGTTATTTTTAAAATAATGTATTTAAACTCCATAATTAACTTAAACACGATAGATATACACAAACGAAAACACAAAACAACAAGCTGTCAACCTTTTTCTATGCTGTCAAATATGACGAATTTACCAACGTTGTTAATATTTAATTTTAATAATTAATAAATGATTAACTTTCTTTAAATAGAGAAAAATATCTAAAGAAAATGATGAACAATTTTTTTATTATTAAAACGAATTACTGGTAATTATTAATGTTCATTATGTTATTATGAACGTCCAAAAAGGCTTGTAATCTATATTTCTGACAACGTTGGAAGCCGTGTTTCTTTCGACGGTGTTTAGAATGTAAAACTATGCTTTACTAGCTTTTTAAACGTAAACAAATCCGTCCATTTGTTTTGGTGTTCTGTGGATCCATACCATAGAGAAACTATCGCGACGTGGCCTTTGCCGCAATCGGTACATACTATGCAACCAAGTAGGTTTAATTCTTTCTTATAACTTATAAGTATTACCAGTAATGGGTCAAAAAAGTTTATTGAAGAAACTAAGAAAATTGAATGTTTAAAATGTCATGATAATATTGTATATTATATTTAAATATATTGTTTATTTACCTTAAACATAAAAGTATCTTTATTTTTACTATATTTTTTATTAATGTG